GTCGACTTCGGGGGGGCGGGGGGGGGGCTAATATTGGAATATCATATACTGCATCAACCCAACCACCCTTGCCGTTCTATACTAACTTTATCTCAAAATGTGACCATCAAGGGACATCCACTAAAGTTGGAGACCAGAACAGCCACTTTGATTGCCGGCATCACTCGTTTGCAGTCAGAGTGTGCGGCATGTGGAATTCTCTTCCATCCAATGTAGTGTGTGCTCCTATAGTTGAACAATTTAAATCGCAACTTGATAAAGCATTGGAACACTTAAAATTTCGAAATCCGTGAATGATCATGCAAATGGTTATTATTAATATTTTCTCTTTGTGAAGTTATTCAAAATATTTTTTAAAAATCCTGTGGGGCATGGTAAGCTTTAGCTTTGTTAAATCGCCCATAGTGAAACTTTGTCTTGGAGTCGGTTGTGCATCAATCCCCGAGTGATCGCTGCTCTCCCCCGGTCCCTCTGCTTTTCCCAGATATCAAGGACATATTTATTCCAGCTGTGATGGTGAACAAAATGGCTGGTGACAAATTGAAAATGTATGCTGTAGCCGAGCGCCAAAAAGAGTAAGTTTGATTCCCTCACGTTTCGGAACGTTTATGTGGTGATTAAGTGTGTTAGATGTCCTGAAATCTGGTACTGTACTTTTCCATGGCGCTTATCTGTTTTCTGGCTAGTACATTCTTCTGCTTGGATGGTTCACTGGGTCTTGCGGTCTGATCCACTATCATCCTGTGGAAAGATTTTGTGTTCTTCGCAGCTGGGCTTCCGTTTGGTAAAATGATCGTACAGACTATCGTAGAAAGAAGCGGAATATCGGGAGGTGAGCAAGCATATATATATATATATATGTATGTATAAAATAGCAAAAGCTTCAACGACCAGTCAAACGGGAACATGATGTTGACATGTCAGGGTGCCTAAAAGCAATATAATGACTCTCGTCGACGAGATCGGTCGGTGTAGCTAGCGTGCCGTATGTTTCAGTTTCAGTTTGAGCAACCATTAACCATGCACTTTCGTGCCCTATGACGACTGAACACATCCATAGAGCAAATTTGTCCATTCACTTCAGTCACAATTAGCATTGAATAGACAGTTTGTGAGCTGATTGCCGTATAGAGACGATTTCATCATACCGGTGACGCTCACCTCATCACAAATACATTGTAGACGAAGTGACTCATGGTCACCTGGTTGTTGAAATTTAAATGTCGTGATAAGAAACAACAATTGGATTTGTACATCGCATCCAGCAATATGATTTGACCTGACTCCTTTCAGCTTAGTGATATGCCTCAGTATCGTAATATATATATATATTTGTGAACTTAGTCTTTATGAATTCCCTATATTCACTCTAACACTAATTTCAACACTCCAGTCTTCCTTGAAATTCTTCACCCAAACTGACAATCATAAAGCAGCAACCAAAACTGGCGCATGAAAGTGGATGATTAATGGGTGTAAAAACTGAACTAAACTGAACGTATCGAAACCCAAGCATGCGCCACACATATTGTCACTTTATGCGCCACTTAACCGTTGATAATCACAACATTCGTGTTAACTTGCTGATTAGCCTTACTGTGTCAATTCAACCATTAATGAGTATCCGTTTTAATACGCCTCTTTTCTGAATTCCTTTTGCCCGCCCCCTGCCCCCCCCCAATCGTATTTGTCACCGCTTACTTTGTCCCACGCAGATTTGTCATCAGTATGGTCAGCTTTTACAGTCTGCCATTGAAATATGTGCTACTTTCACTACTCGTGCTGGTCGGTGTCTCATTGATCATACTCATTGTCTGTTTCGCGGCACATCTGTGCAATCTTTGGCGACGAATGCGTCGAGGACGCCTATCCAGACGACATCTGCGTCGTCTACAAACGAAACGATTCGAAAAAGGTACGTGTTATATTCTCCGTAATTCGATACCATCGTTCCTCCTCCCTCAACGAACAACATCTTACCGGGAATTGATGATTGCTAGTGTTCAAACGGTGAAATTATTTGACTAGTGCACGTAGTGCGGGTTCATTTTTTCCTCGCACATGTAACTGACCGATCGATAGCACAGTGGTCTTGAATCCAGGGTGCGACAGCTACCATGACTACCATTGACGCCATTTCTTCAAAGCGTGCACAGCTGAAAGTTATACGGTGAGAACAGACGAACAGGTGTTCGGTTTTTGGGGCACATAGTCCTTCCGTCATTTCCTCCTCTTGTACTCCTTTCGTCTCAACTGGGTTTGCGCATAGTTCCGTCTGATTGTAACCAATCGAGCAACCCTTGTTTTTACTACCCTCCATTGGTTTCTATGTGTCTGCGTACTGGAATAAGACATCCCATGC